TACTGGCACCTGCCAAAATTAGAATGCAGGGATAGTATAATATAATAAATAACTTGGGGTGATAAAGTGAGATCTGCTAATAGCATATTTATTCACTTGGCATATTTGTTATTGTCAAATAATGTCACAGAAACATGCTTTTAACTGTGTCATTTCTCTAGAGTGGTGTTTCTTAAAGTGTGGTCCTAGGACCCCTGGGGGTCCAAGACCCTCCTAGGGGTCCAAAAAATCAAAATTATTTACCAGCCTATGTTGAAAAATAATACAATATTAAAATCACATCAAATAATTGTGAGAAGCGGTAGCAGCAGCTAATGCATCAATTTTAATTTTTAATACGGTAAATATTGATAAATATAACACATACAAACAAAAGATCTTTTGGGGTTCTCCATAATTTTTAAAAGTGAGAAGAGATTCTGAGAAAAAAAAGTTTAAGAAATGCTGCTTTAGAGCACAGGGCAACTTTGCTTAGGACAATAGGCAGACCCTGAGCCACATTTTAATGAATGCCCTAAAATCGACCTAAGGTATTTAAAAAAAAAAAAAGGTCCCTAAACCTGCCTCATTCACACATAAGGCCCAGCTCTACCCAATTAGGTCCTTGCAATCCTGAATGTTAAGGGTGAATCTCCCACAGCTGGAAGGTGGCCCATCACAGATTAAGAGCAAGAGTTTTCAGAATCTAATATAAATTGATAATTCAAATCCAAACCGCTCGACACCCTCTTCATTCTCTAAAACTGATTATCAGCACAAGGAGTATGTAACCCTATTATACTTTATTCTTCCCCAAACTTATCTAATGTGGTTTGTTTGGCTGAAGCTCAGTATGTTGTAAAAGCACTGTCATTTCTATAAGCAATGGTTTAATGTGCTAACCAACCCAGTCAATTATTTTCCATCTGATTAGGTTTAAGCAAACTATGACTTAATACAACGTGTGAACACAGCCTTAGCTTGATGTATCATGCGTCCGCAAGACATTCTTCTACGCTTCTCCAGGTAATCCGCTTGGGTGCGCGAGAGCACTACCCCCAACGAAACTACATTTCCCGGGAAACCCCACGCAACCACCCCTCACGTACCGCGCCGCCACGGCCTAGCGTAAGCAACCCGGCAGACGAACTACATTTCCCGCCGCTCTTTTCTCTCCTGCCCTAAGCGGCGCATGCGCAGCGGCGAGGCCTGGCTCCTTCACATCGTCGTTGGAATCGTATCGGTGGATGGTGCGATCGGGGACTGGTGAGGCGACTTAGCGATCGCGTGCGACGACCAAGGACTGCGACCGACAGACCGAGAGAGTTTTCACCGCCGCCATTTCGGTCAGCCCGGCCCCATGATTCCCATATGCCCGGTAGTTTCTTTCACCTATGGTGAGTAACGGCCCCGGGCGAGCCGGGGGAAAGGGCGGCGAGGGGAGCGGCGGCCGCTGAGGGGAGGGGGCGCGCGGGGGGGAGCCGGGGGAAAGGGCGGCGAGGGGAGCGGCGGCCGCTGAGGGGAGGGGGCGCGTTGCCTCAGGAGTTGGCTCTGA